GTGAACATGCAGGTTTTATCAGAATTTCCCACTAAACAGCCATAAATGTACATAATTTAGAAATATACTCGTAGGTACATGCCGTCACGAAGGTTTCAATGATCGTCCTCTCCATTGAGTGTCTCTATTGACCATCTTGGACCTCTTTATGGAGAAAAAAATTCAATATTACTTTAGTTGATTTCATTTTTAGTTGTAGTAGAGTTCTGCATATAAAATTATCATTCATTCATTACGTCCAGGGAAGTACAGCCACCTTACTTATTTCAGCCGTCAAGCAGTAATGCCAGCATTACTGTGTTCCGATTTTGAAAGGTATGAAAAGGGTGCTGATGAAATTAAATTACACATGGGACTTGCCAACTTAAATTTCTGGGTGACGGGCACAGCAGGAGCGCCCCACAGATCTTTTGCGATTTAAAGCCCTGAGTGTCGCTGCAACTGTTGTGGTATTCGCTTGCCCGCCGAAGAAGGCAACCTACTCATTATACCTAACACTTCGACGACCGTCACTTTGACGACTTTGTAGTCCGCTGCCGAAGTCCTCTGAGTCGACTAGGTCGGTCAAACAAGTATCAACGTGTCGGCAGTCACAGATGCGCGCGCGGGTCAAAGTCAAAGAATCATTCTTTCTTTCCATCCTCTAAGATAAATTCAGACTAGAAAACGTCATTTTTTAAGCTACTGCTCGTTCACTCTTCCCTGAGAACGAGTAAGAAACTCTAAGCATTGCTCGTTTCAAATAAACTTAATTGGTACTTAGAATCAAATTTGTGTGGAACCTAGACCCATGTCGTCGTTCCATACATCTTTATCTAACACGTAATCTTCAATTTTGTAATGTGACTTTTCAATTAAAATACTTTTAATGTAAGTTATGCATTTAGGAAATTATAATTTGAATATATATGCTCCGGAATCTTATTGTAAAAACGTAATACGGCTCCCCGTAAAAGAATCGTTTACCTTAGTTAAACGAAATCGTGGTGCCATGAGTTTGGACTTAGTTCTAAGGTTAATATAAAGGATATCTTGTTTCCTAATGAAATTATGTATATTTTGACGGGTATACAAAACATTTGAACAAACGTATTGTGAAATCACAGTCATGATACCAGTCTCCTTAAGCTTTCTCTGAGAGAAACCCGAGAACCTAAACGGTACGCAGAACTAACCGGTTGTTTTTGCAACACAAATATGGTTTGTATATCTGCTTCATCGACAATCGACCCTGTGTAAACACGCCATTAGACATTTTTTCCGCCATTAAAAATTTTTCATTGAAAATTAAATCAAAGGGTGATTCATCCCCTAGTTTGACAAATATTTTCTTAAAATTTAAATCACCATATTTCCAACAAAAAATGAACCAAGAAAATCCGTTCACAAATGCAGGAGTTATCGCACAACAATACAACAAAAAAAGAACATCCTCCTTCTTTGAAGTCAATTAAAAATGTAATGTACCTCTACAATGTGACTGTGAAACAAATTAGTTTGTATTTCTTTGTAATGACAGTTTATAAGTGTTGGTATAAATAAATTTAAATGTCGTAATTCATCACAACGGGGCGCGTAATTTCAGCCGCGTCAACGTCAGTTATCTAAAGTCGTTTTATGATTGTAGGGAAAATGAATAAAAAAGTTGTGTTTTTCAACAATATATTTAATATATAAAAAAGTCCACGCGTATACACACATGTTTTACATAATTGCACTCGATTTAAATCACATAAAAATTATAAATTAAAAAAAAACTTATTTTTTTCTTATAAAGAACCTTGTATAACTTCTCTTATTATTTAAATTTTATACCTCTACTTTATAGGCAATCGTTACTTATATAGCTATTATTGCTATTACCTTTGTAAGTATATTTTAGAAATGCGTCGTTTACTTTTGGTAAAAAAGGATCTAAGCAACACACGGCTTTTGTACCACAAACTTTTCTGTGGTATGACATAAAACTAACTGATTCAATTACTTTGTAGCAACTTTGCATAGGCAGGGATGGGAAAATGGCTATGGCGAAGCGCTGTGCTTCCTTTATAATATGTCCTTTATATAGGGTTACTAGTAAAATACAAACAACCACGCAGGACCATATTACTGACATCATAAACTACGACCTTTTGGTCCATAACTTGGTTCTATTTTCGTACAAAAACAATTAAACAGGTCGCCTTACTTTACTCGTATCTTAAAACACAAAGTTACTGAATTGCAAAAAAGTTTTGTCGTCTCCTGAATAACCACTCTTTATAAGATACGAGTTTGAGAAAGAAGGTGACGAAATACCAATTCGATGCAAAACGCAGGAGCGGGACGTCGGATAAGACGCTTGCACATTTGAACCAGCTACCTTACTACGAAATTCAGATCCAAAAAATACAACATAATAGTACATTGTGAATGTACTATTATGATGCGGTAGTTACGAAATTATTAACGAGAGTTTGTTAGAAACTTTAATGGCTCGAGATTTTGTAATATAATTTAGCATTCCTAATGTCGACTTTGCCTGCATGTCATGACAGTGTTACGAGCAAGTGTGATGAAAAATTATGTTTCGTAAATAGATAATGAACATAAGTTGTTGATTATCAAGTTACTAATGTAAGCCTACGAGGTTGTTACTATTTTACAAAAAACTGTCGAGATAAAAAAAGTAAATTAAATAACGTAACCTCCGGTTAAAAAACCGACCTCAAAAGTCACTCATCCCCTAGTTTGCCACCCTTAGAGGTGGAATATTTTGTTGAAATTTAAATGGGACCACATCTGAGGTACCTTCTTTCCAACAAAAAAAGAATTATCAAAATTGGTTCACAAATGGCGGAGTTATCGCGTAACATACATACAAAAATAAAAAAAAACACAGACGAATTGAGAACCTCCTCCTTTTTTTGAAGTCGGTTAAAAATAAGTTCATTTCACTGGTCTAAAATTTTCAATTATTATATAAAGCTTCTTTAAATCTATTTTCCCATCCCTTAGACACTAGCGGCACCCCCTATCACAGATATACATATGGATCTGTATTTAACCTTGAATTACATTACGCCATATTGATATTACCTCATTCGCTGCGCATCACGTGATATGCTACGTAAATTCAACCATCCAACGTGGTTGGGATAAAACCACTAAAGTGTTATTATGTAATCGCTGTACGCCGATTATTATAATCCAATAAAATGAAATCTGCGTAGTTCGGTTTTTCGTATGTAAAAATGCAAACATATTATAATAAGCAAAGACGTATGATAAAAATGTGGTACAACTTCAGTTTGACAAATTTCGAACTAACGTTTTGGCGGAGTAATCTAAAAAACTAAATTACGTGTCATAATACTAAAACTTGTTCTTTAGCGATTGAATAAATGAATGAATGACATCACTGCCATTCGGTTGAGACTCAACTGCCATTGCGACTAGATTTCAGCAGGATAACAAATAATATCATAATTGCAATATTATCTCAGTGGACTTCCAAAGGAACTACACTTGGGGCTCTGGTACCGTGGTCTCTTTTGACTATTTTCAATTCTATAATTGTAACGATTTTATTCAAAAGACCGACCTGAAAAGTACGTGGAATTACATCTATTTGCCAAGTTTTATTGAACCTGTTACTGGGAAGTGTGCGAAACCGGATTCATCCCCCCCTTTAAATGGGACCAATACTGAGGTACCCCCTTTCCAACAAAAAAGAATTATCAAAATCGGTTCACCAATGCCGTATGAACAGCAGCCGCAGAATGAGGTAACGCGTACCATATATACAAAAAGAAAATGCAGTTGAATTGAGAAACTACTCCTTTTTTTTTGAAGTCGGTTAAAAATAATACAGGCCACTATCATGACGAATTCATTCTTTATTCTTTTTTCAAAATTAGTAGTACCACTCTTTTTAACCGACTTCAAAAAAGGAGGAGGTTCTTAATTCGACTGTATGTTTTTTTTTTGTATGTATGTTACGCGGTGACTCCGGTATTTGTGAACCGATTTTCATGATTCTTTTTTTGTTGGAAAGGGGGTATTTCCATAGTGGTCCCATTTCATTTTGAAGAAAATCATCCACCTCAAAGGGTGGCTGTTCACGCATGAAGATTCATTTTTATAAATAGCGCCTAACTTTAATTTAGGAGCAATTACTTTTAGCAATTATTTAGTTGATTTTGCTATTTCTCCAATTCAAGGCGTTTTTCTCTCGATACTTTGAGTAGTGTTGTAGTGAGAACCTATTTTTTTTATTATTACCAGTATCAAGTCCTGTATTGTGGCGAACTAGGGGATATTTCAATGAAACTTAGCAAATAGACGTAATTCCACGTACTTTTGAGGTCGGTTTTTTTAGTACTCTGTACTGAGACTTTCGCTTTGAATGGGCGAAATGGCGGTATACAGAAATAAAATTATTTACAAATGACCATTGGCCATGTCAATGCAAATGACCAACAAATTTTTTAACATTGTAATGCCCCTTTGTAACAAGATCAACATAATAAGCTCATTTGCTATTTCTATGTACAATTTCATACTGAAAAAAAGGAGCCATGGTCGTATTTTCAACCGACTTCAAATTAGGAGGTTCTCAATACGATTGTTTTTTTTTGTATATATGTTACGCGTTTATTTGTGAACCGATTTTGATGGTTCTTTTTTTATTGGAAAGAGGGTAATTCAGTATTGGTCCCATTTATATTTGAAGAAAATATTCCACCTCTAAGGGTGGCAAACTAGGGGATCAATCCGGTTTCACGCACTTTCCGGTAACCGATTTCAATAAAACTTGGCAAATAGATGTAATTCCACGAAATTTTGAGGTCAGTTTTTTTCATAGAAAAGTTGTTATATTTCATACTTTGGTGGACTATATTTAAGCCATCACTCGTATTTTTCCAGTTTCCCAATTATTACTATTTCGAATTAGGTCACTTTATTGTTGAAGGTAGGATATGGTCAAGTTTAGCTGGCATATGTAGCTTGTTGTTTGATTGATTTATAACGGATAATAAATAATGTTCCCTAGACCCTTTCCCCCGACCCCCTCCCGATCTGCGATCAAACTGACGCGATGGTTTTTGTGCTGAAGATTTCGATCCAGTATCCGTCTGGGTCCTGGATGAAGGCAAGTCCCTTCATCTTACCGTCTTGAGGTTTCTTTATGAACTTTACGCCAAGTTGCTCGAATCTGAAGAAGTAGACAAGTTGGTTAAAATAAAGATGAGTTTTAGAATATATCTTCAAAAGATTATTTGCGAAAGTATTGACTTGGAAATTTTAAAACAATGTTCCAAGCTATTGCTTGTTCACTACACTGACCTCATCTGAGAAGAACGAGCAAGAAACTCTAGGTATTGCTCTTTTCGAATAAACTTAAATGCTACGGAATATACTTTGAATGATAATTGTGTGGAATCTAGACTCATATTGTCTTTCCATACATCTTTATCTAACTTTTTTTTTTTACTCTTTATTTATTTAGGGGCTTTGATCGTTATTGAACATGCCAGACCCATTAGAAAAACGCTACCTCAGGAAAACATTTAATAAAGTCCAGACGAAAAATAAAAATACTACTTAACCAAACATGTATACAAAATCTCTGCGGCACTACATGTTGGCTCAGAGAAAACTGATTGAAACCACCCAACATTACATGTACGGAAACCAGAATGTACAAATAACCGCGCCCTGATAGGTTCCGTCCGAATACAGTCCATACAATAAACACCTTTTCAATTTAGGTATCACAGACAGCCCTCTATGCAGAGTGTGCATGGAGGGGGAGGAAACGGCTGCGCACATCCTACTACAGTGCTCCGGCGTGGCCAACTACAGGGCAAAGTACCTTGGAGTGCCAAGGTCGCTCCCCGAAGTCTTCAACAAGCCCAGGAGGCTGCTGAGATTCCTGGAGGAGCTTGGGTGGCACGAGTAGGACCCTGCACCCACCACACGCAAAATAGGCGCCTTGACGTCGAGTTGCGGACACCAGTCCGTTGCACCAAGTACCAAGTACACTCCATGAGCAAATGATGTACATCCTCAGGAATCCCACATACTTCGCATTCGGTGAGTTCACCCTCCTCATCAAATACAAAAATTTGTTTAATGGAACGTGTCCGGTAACTTAATATGCTCAAACCAAGGAAAACGAGGAGGCACACTCTGCATGGTCTTGTTTCCGGATTCCTTTTTCCTGGGACCTTATTTCGAAATATTCCTTCCAACGAGAACGGAACTTGCTCTTATAGTTTGCAAAAAAAAATACCTTTAACGTAAGTTAAAACTTAAAAAACTTAGGAAATGATAATCTTAATAATATGTTCCGGAATCTTATTGTAAAAACGTATAAATTTCCCCATAAAAGAATCGTTTACTTTGGTTAAACGAAATCGTGGTACTATGAGTTTGGACTTAGTTCTAAGGTTAATATTATGGATACCTTCTTTCTTAATGAAATTATGAATATTTTTACGACATCGATACATTTTTTTTAAAGTCATGACTCCCGTTATATCCATCTTAAAATATGTTATCAAATAATATTATTTTCATTCATAAAGCTTTCGGAATAAGATGGAGATTTCTTTTTACTACTTAAGGAAAAGTTTCGAATGCATTATAAATATTTGTTTTTGAACGTAACACGACTTATTTTGAAGTCTCGTTGAGATAATTATGAAATTTTTTTAATGAATTAATTAAATATCTTTTATTGCACGTTAAAATTACAATGACATTATAAAACAGTACTAAAAAAACAGAATCATTTGCTCATATAGTGGTTGGAACGGAACCTATCAGAATGTGGTAATTTCCATAGGTTAGTTATGATGCATTTGTTGTTGGGTGGTTTCAATCCGCTTTGTCTCAGGCAACAAGTAGTGCCACGAAGATTTCGTACATGTCTTTGGTCAGGTAGTGCTTTAATTTTCCAGTTTGGATTCTATTTAATTCAATTTAATTTATTTAAATAATCTTTTTGAACAATACAATACAATAATGCACACTTAAGGCATTCTAGACCAGTGAAAAATTGGGCCAAATAAAAAAAAATGTTGGTCTTACATTTAAAACAGAAAAATAAAGAAAAAATATCCAAAATTTTATAGTTAAATAATAATAACGCATACATTCATGTCCCCACACTAGAGAAACCCTGTGTCGCGTGCGTCATGGACACACACATAGACAACCACAAATTACACCCAAACTCACAAGAGAAACAAATGTAGGCCATACAAATATTTCTCCCGGCCAGGGTATCGAACCTGGGACCCCTGCGTGGCAGTCCGCATGGTAACCGTTCGACCACCGAGGCAGTTATATATATGTAGCTACTATAACTGTTTCACGTATTTAATTTCGTTATTCATATTTATTGTGGTCTTTTAAGTCGTCGACGTACTTTACACCTTATGTGATAGAAAATCTCTGTAAATAAATATCTGTGGAAACTTTTAATTAGCCCTCAGCATGCATGCACCGGTCTGTCAGGCGTGTATTACACTTCCCATTATATTCAAGTTACCTAGCTGTAAGTTCTCCAAAAATAATGAAAATGAAATAAAAATAACATTTTAAAAATAACCCTGTATATACGAGGCCTATTTCCGCCTGTGTAGTATGTTCAAACCATCGAAACACTCCCAAGAGCTGAGTTTCATTGATCAATTGTAAGAAATACCTGGCACAAGCGGCGTCCACGTCGGGCACCAGCAGCCCGATGTGGCCGAACCCGCGGGGGTCCTGGTTGCCGTTGTGATAGCTCGAGTCGTCGCTCTCCGTGCCCCAGTTGCTGCGAGAACAATGCACCCACATTCAATAAATAAATACGACTTTCTTCGAATCCCCGCGGCGGCATGAATCACGACTTTAGTTCCTAAATTACGTACATTTGTGACTACCTCTAATAACCGTGTAGATAAGACATCATGACGAAATCTGCATGTCGAAGAAGGTTTACAACTCTTTGAAAGTTTACAACCCTTTCACGTAAGTGTACTTTGTCTATAATCAATTTGTTTAGGCACTACACTGGTATACATTTTTTTGTTGAAACATATACTTTACAAATCAATAGGTATAAAAATAAGCTAAATATTTGCATTTTGTATTTGAAGGTAGGTAAAAATAATTTTATAAATGTATACTTCATTAAATAGACATCTCAAAAATGTCTACATTTAGTTACGTATGTAAACAAATGGACTATAATGGTAGGCTTTTTGGAGCACTAAATTATTATTATTATAATAAAATGGGTTTAGTCCCTAAACTGTATTAGGCTAGAATATTGGTGACGGGACGAACAAGTCGTGCGCCCGGTGGTAAGTGACACGCCTATCCATAACAGTTGCAGCTTTAGATCGCAAAGATCTTAGGGGCACTGCCACTGTGCCCGTCACCCTAAGTTGACAAGTCCCATGTGCGTGTAATTTCACCAACACCATTACCCCTCCAAACCGGAACGCTGTAATGTTCACATCACTGCTTGGCGGCAGAAATAGGTAAGGTGGCAATATTTCCCTGGACGAATTCTTTCACAAGGAGCTCCACTGCTACTAAATGTACATGAAACTAAACAACGAAACGGAATTTCTCTATGTGCTTGTTGTAAAACCTTTATCCATCATTAGGCCTGTCCTTTTATATGGCAGTGAAACGTGGCCCGTACTTGAGCGTCATAAGCAGGGGCTGCGTGTCACGGAAATGAAGATGCTGCGCTGGATGTGTGGAGTTTCACGGAAAGACCGTGTCAGAAACTCCCGCATCCGCGGCAGCCTTTACGTCCGTGACATTGCAGCTAAACTGCAATAAAGCCGCCTACGTTGGTACGGCCACATCTTACGGAAACCGGCATGCTACGTGGGAAACAAATGTCTGGCTATGCCACCTCCGCCGGGCCCCGGTAGAAGGGGCAGACACAAGAAGTGCTGGCTTGACGTCGCCAAGGGTGATATGCGTGCCAATGGTCTCACCACTAAGGATGCAGAAGACCGTGCAAAGTGGAGGAGAAAAAGCAGGAAAGCGGACCCGGAAGAGAGAGAGAGCTTGTTTTTGTTTTTTTAACGACTTTTTGCCGTAGCGCCATCTTTGACAATTTATTTCTTCTATGAGTCAGGTACCTTTACAGCTACAGCAGCTGACTAAAGATGTCACTTTAGTTGGCATAGCGTCTGACACGGTTTGCTAAAAGACGTTTGTTCGAATCCAGTCGGATCGAATCTTCGCATTAATAATTATAACAAACTAGTGGAAGAATTTCACATAAAACTAAATAAATATCATGTTATCTAGTAAAATATCATAATATTTACTATAACCAATTTTACTTACTAAGTTAATTCTAAAGTGGCTTTCCTGGTCATCGCCCACACGGCTCTCTGACTTTCGTCCTGTGGGATCTCTGCTGGATTTTCATACCTGTAACATTAAATTTAATATAAAATGAGAACAATACTGCCCTCGGTAGAAATCATTTCGAACCATAGCCGTGAAGAATGAGTCAGTTATTACAACTGATATTACATACAATAGTGCAAAACTACATGTTGTGTCAATCAAGTAATCGAGCTTGCAAAACACCGCAATATCACTGTGCTCCAGTCTAGGATTGACTGTTATGTAATTCAGTCTCTTTTGCCTTGAGTACTTTTGAAATTATTTTAAAAGCATAATATTATAAAAATAAAACACACTTCATTTTATGCGTTTGAACAATAGCTGATCCACAGATAATATAATACTATATTAGCACAGATGCTCTATTTTTTATTTTCGGACACTTATTTTGATTCTTAACGGTGATCAATAGATGGTACCAAGTAAACCCGCGATGCGATTGTAATAATATTTGTAAAGGCCAACAGATGGCAGCTGTTATATTGTGAAGGTTATTACTCTTGTGCAGGTGGTGATTATATTATACGATAACATTTATTATAAAATTGCAAGGAAGCTATTCCTTGTAATTTTACTTAGTTACTTTTAATACTTGAATGAAATACTCAGTGCTTAAAGATTACGTAGTATCGAGAATAAATTCAAAGAAGTGCCATCTATACAATTTATTACAAACTAACACATCAAAAAGAATACCATTGACAAACCTTCGACTTGTTGTCTTTTCAACGACAATTGTTTTCGCAATTTTCATTATTATACTTAATTAAATTTTAATTTCCGCATTCCTAAAGTGTTGTATAAATGGTTTTGCACTTCTTTTTTATATTTTATAAGTGTTTTTTATATTTTATCCAAGTGTCGCTATTTACAGTTTTAAAAACGTACTAAAGTGTTAATTTATATGAATTGACACCCCATGGCAGAACTTCTGTAGAAGATTACATACGAGCCGAACATCAATTACATGCACCCGGGACTTGTCAACTTACGTCTCAGGGTGACGATCGCAGTGGCAGTGCCCATAGATCTTCGTTTTTTAAAGCTCTGAATGACTGCAACTGTTATAGATAATCGAGTTGCTTAGCCAGGCGCCCGACTTGTTCGTCCTATTACTTGGTAGTATACATTAAAAAAATGGTATGGGACGTACCAAATACAGAGCCGAGCTAGTGTTGTATATTCTATCTTTTAGTTCTAACAAAGGGTGAGGTCAGATGAGTGTAATTTTGTGAATTGTGAGTACGTTTTTTGAATCTCATAGTTTGTTTCAGTTGCTTTTAAACGTTTGTACGGGATGTTTGTGTTATATACATAGTGTAATGGATGCATTAAAAATAGTGTATATTTTTGAAACATTACGAGACATTGTTACAAAAAGAGGCTGTACCTAATGAAACTGTAGGCAGGAACAGAAGACATAAATTTATTTTCAAATTAGTCTACTATTGTACATTTACAGACTTCAAAAAAAGGACTATGTTTTTTTTTGCATGGTCCCATTTAATTTTGAAGAAAATCATCCACCTCTAAGAGTGGTTGTTCACGCATGAAGATTCATTTTTACAAATAGCGCCTAAATCTTATTATAAGGAGCATTTATTTTAATGGTTGACTTTGCTATTCTCTAATTCAAGGCGTTTTTCTCTCAATATACGTTGAGTAGTGAGAACCGATTTTTATTATCTCCTGTGTCAAGTCCCGTTTAGTAACGAACTAGGGGATGAATCCGGGTTTCACTTTCCGGTAACCGATTTCAAAAAAACTTGGCTAATTGGTGTAATTCCACGTACTTTTGAGGTCGGTTTTTTTAGTACTCTGTACTGAGATTATTGGTCTCTTAACTTGTAGGTAGTTTAGTGCGTTTACGTAGTAGCGATCACACCATCGTCGCGGTGGCGCTGTCGTGATACACTTTACTGAACTCCAATGCGCGGCTATTCAGTGGCGACATAGCCGGCGTCGTGGCGGCGCGTATTGGTATGCGCTGGTGTTGATGCGCTACAAGTTCAACATACTAACATGAAAGTTTACGTGAATATCTAAATTTGTAAGGTACTAGAAGAACAAAGATCAACCCCGACAGTTTCTTGCTTAATCTTCTCAGGGGAATCTGCCTTACGAATGAGCGGTAGAGTTTAACCATTGTGACGATTTCAAGTGTAATAATGCTTACCTATGAAATAAGGACAATTTTGAATTTAACTAGCATTTGGCAATAAACATTTCTTTTACCTTCATTCCCTTGCCCCTCCATCTACCCGCGAAAACATGTCACAAAGTTCGGTCGTAATTAAGCGCGTGAGTCGGCAGATAACTCATTTTGCGTCGTCGTGTGGCACAAACCGGATTTGTATATGATGACGCGTTTACACCAAGTTGACGGGCGATCACCGATTGCCTGCGAAAGGCGGCAAGCTACCCGGTGTAAATAGTGAGTCGCCTGATGACCGTACTTCGCAGTCGACGTGTATCGTTGGACGACTGTCGCGTCTAGCCTGTTCCCATAACACGACTATCTGTCGTGACTGTGTCGTGGACGTTTATTTTATCGTTGAACGACTGTCGTGTCTAGCTATTCCCACTACGATTCTGTCGTGCAAACGACGTTTGAAGCAGCGATTGTCTGTCGTCATTTTATTGTGACATTTTATTTATCGTCTGACGACTATCGTTATAGCTCTTCCCAATGTCACGACAGTCTGTCGTCGTAACGTCAAAAAAGTCGTGACCGAAAGTGAATCGTGTTGTTCTACACACTACACTTTAAATTGTACGACTAACCGGCACATATTAGTCTATGCGCCCGTTGACAAGTGACGGTCGACCAAACAGGTTTCTATATGCCCACGACCGCGCCCCACCGCGATAAGGATTTTGTAGGCTATGGCGGCAGACGATTTGGTGTAAACGGCGAGTTGACTGCGTCGACTTTAGCTAGTTGACGTCAATGATATTATACTTCTGGTTGAAGTAGTCTACCGTAGTCGGCAGACGACCCAGTGTAAATGTGTCGTGAAACCAAATGCTGCATAAATTACGCGACTCGCAACTCACAAACATTACGCTCGTCTGGTCTCACCCTTATGCTTTAAGCAAAAAGCGAAAGGATACATTACCCCATAAAGAAGAGCGAGAACTTCATGGCAGGAAAGTGCAACTGTTTGAGGAGCGTCATGCCAAGAACACCGGTATAGAACGGTATGGATTTACGTGGGTCCTTGATGCGGTACATCGTTTGTTGGAACAAAAAGTCCTGGAAATAGATAAACAAAAGTGATAAATAAATAAAAAATACATAGATATTTCCCTAATCAATGCGTTTGATACCTGTAAACCTAAATTTCATTATCTATATTATATATATAGTATTTGGTGGCTATTGTTATAATTTAATTTATGTTTGTAAACTTACATTATTATTTATATTACTTACCTTCGTTACTTACACTATTTACATTGTTTGCTTTACATCTTACACTTTTGCTTGATATATATATGTATAGTATTTAGAGTTAGGTATATAAATTTGCGTGTGATGCACTTCGGTGGCATGGCTTACCGGGCTGCGATCGCTCATCATATGGTACTGGCAGAAAACCAGCACTGTTTGACTCCTCTCGGTCTACAGTATTTATGCTCAGTCAGGGCCATTTCAGCACAAACTGTAGTCTTAAGTACATTAAAATTTTATCATTGTTTTTCTCACAGTATTTGTTTTTCTCGCAATATGTGTTTTGTATAAATGTGTATAAAATTAATAATGAATGTTTTATGTGCTTTTATGTTATACTCTGTGAAGTGATTGTAAATGTTTTGTTTCTGTTTGTGTTTGTGCTGAATAAACGTGTTATCTATCTATCTATCTAAATATCAAATACATAACTAAGCCTTGTAATGTGTGCATGTCCTATCAAGACCGCCAAATTCTATGTGTCCTGTGTTCAATAAATACCACATACAAGACATTTATTTATCCACAAAGCACATAAAAACAAACATAAGTGAACGATTACAACAAAAGAATTGCTGATTTTCAGCATTCACCCTAAAAGTACTCGCTTGCTGCATTAGACTGGCCAGTGGTGTGTATACTACACACCAAGCAATTAATAGAGGCTGTCTGTGTTGCACTATATGTAAAAGGTATAAACATTAAAAATATATATACTTAAAAACAGAAACTATTCTAAAATTTTATTTATTTAGTGACGCTTAGTGGATTTAAACACCGACCAATTGCTACTCGATTTCTGCACAGACAGGAGCCCTTGTTTACACATTTTTTTGAAAGGATATATAGTTTTGGGATTTTATATGAATTTGTGTTTGTGTAGTTTTTTATATTGCTTTTAAGAATCGTAGTAAGTTTTGTGCCCTTTAAGTCTCATTTTAAAGTAGGAAGTTAAGCCTTTTTTAATGATATTCAATAATTTATATCATTAAAATGGGTCTTATTCAAATGTTGTGCATAGCTGAAAAAGGAGTGCAACTTAACTTACTTTTTTTTTTATAAAAAAGAAAACTTTTTTAGGTTTTTTTGTAGTTTAGTTACTAGTTCGTGTTCTGTAGCTGTGCCAATTAAAAAAAAATTTCTAACATTAAAGCTAACCTCATTCCGAGCTAAAGTTACAAAAGTAATTAATACAAATGCCTTACTTTTGTTTTACCAAAAAAATTAGTTTCAAAAAACAAATATACTACAAATGTTTATGTTCAAAAGGACATTGCTCTATTATGAAACAATTGTAGCTAGTTTGTTTCCATATTAACTACCGACTGGTGGCCCCACTTTGTCTGTGTGGAACAAGTACTATACTAATCTTCATTGTTTTATTGGTTCTTCATACTAACTGTCATCTCCTAGTTACCTCGTTTAAGATTTATTTTTGTGTCCAAAGTAGCCTATGTCTTCGCCTAGGTCCCATCTATTTCTATACTTTCTCATTTATAAAATTACTTGGGATTGAGGTTTATATTAATTTTGTTGAAGGAAAAATTTTTTTTATTAAACTTGACCAACTTCTGCTTTCCAATTTTTTTCTTCCGATACAATCAAGTCAACCTTATAAGAAACTGAGTAAAATAGCATTAAAAATTTTTTTTTTAAATTTGACCAAATTCTGCTGTTCCAATTTTTTTTGTCCTTTGCAATGAAATAATCCCTTTGTGAACTGAGTCGGTCAGCACTAAATAAATTTTCATGAATTTTATTCATTTTATAGACAACTCATGCTTGACCAATTAAAAAGTCCTTAATTTGTATTTTTTATTTTCTTTTTATATGTTGGGGCTGTGTCACTCAGAGCTTTAAATCTCACCCGAGACATAAGTTGACATGTGCCTATAATATCACCAGAACCCTTACCTCCCCTTCAAAACCGGACTTCAATACATTCCTCTTATGGATATGTCTCTCCACCTTAATCAATATTATAGGTACTTATTAATTTTAAGCATTGTTTGTTCATATTTAATAATCCATATTAATGATTGTCGTATCATAACTTAACCCAAAATAAACTTCAAGGGCAGATAATTCGACAGAAATGGAAGTGTTATCTATGATATATCTATGCCACATAATTTGTTAACATAAGGTCAGTTTCAGCAACTTAGATTTTTTATATTTTAAATTAATATACACTTACATTTGTAGAAGGGTCGGGAGTCTGGCACAGAGCCTCGACTTCTTGAGGAGAAATACCTTCGCTGGCCATGATTATCTGAAGAAATCAGTACAAAAACAGTTTAGATTCCTGAAACCTTGTAACCTATAAATTGCATAAAACTATCAATTAAGTACGTGAATTTCAAATACGTATTGTTTTTAAACAATATTACTTACGATATTTAGCTTATAAACTAATATTACTGTTTATTTACTGAGAAAAACCGGAGGAAATAACGCGAAAATACACCCTAAGAAAGAAACCGCACAAATGTCAAATAAACTAATGACATTTGTTTTTTTTTTGCGGACTTTAAAAAAAAATATTTAACGACCTTGGATATATGTAATTAATCAAAATATTAGTGATCGCGTACAATAGCAGACTGCTGATCTTTACTCCGCCGCCACTTTCGCTAAGCTGGCTGGCGACCCTGAGTATACCCAGGTAGGTATGACCCTCGGTTCAGAACCTTACTGGACTTCTTAATTAGAAGGTAGATAGGTGTAACAGGTAGGTAAACAGTTTATATCATTAACCATCTGTACATAATATGTATAAATAAATCTATTTATTAATGAATAGAGCTGATAAAAATAGATTTAATGAAATGTACAGTCAGCTATTGATCGATGTAGATGAATATTATGATATAAAATTATTTTAAAAAGGTGTCACATGGTTGATTTTTAAAATTGCAATTAAGTACTACTTGTAGTATTAAAGTAGAACCTGATAATAAACGAACCAGGAAAAGTATTTGTTTTTCGATATCTGACTTATTAGTATTTACTGGCAGCAGTAGGGGCACGCTCTATCATCAGTCATTTAAATAGGGCATAATGTAAATTATTACTATTTCTTTTTAGACCTACTGCATTGCATACTAAGCCACTTGGTGGTGATAATAACAAAGCCACTAGTGGTCACCACAAGCTTCAGGTGAAAATTTTCATTATATTGTATTCCATCTCCATTGACACAGCAAAAAATTGTGAAAATGACATTAATGCCAAAACATTTTCAAAGTATTATATTTCTATAAAGTATTGCATATTGAAAGTTCAAATTTATACAGAAAAACAGAGACAGCTGCATTCTTTCATATTTCCATATAGAGTGCAACGCTTATAGAAACCAGTATAACATTTAAGTCCTTTAAATGTGCTCAGTAGCCCTAAAAACAAACCAACTTATCCGAAGAACAGAGTATGTTGTGATTATTATAGCGAAAAGACAATAAATACATAATTTCGTTATTAAATTAACTTTTCCTATGTAAAGGTGTTTTGAGAATTTATGTATCTTATTTTGTTTCAGAAATATAAAATTGAGCAACAGTCGACCTGACATCCACAGCAAAGAACTAACGAAATATACTATGTCCTGAGAACAAGTAGTCCTGCACATAGATGTTTGTTCTACGAGTGAGTCGAAACAATATAACTTTTAACTCATTCTGTATAGATTTGACCAACATTAAGAATATTGATGCAAGCTGAGCATTTGAGTGTATCATAAAGTTAGATAGATAGAAATTGAAACCTAACCTAAGTGTAAATAATAAAGTGAATATTAAAGAGAGTTTCCTGGTGCTTTCTAGCATCTACATTCTTATTGATCATAGTTTTTAAAGATACAATAAAAAACTTTGCATTTAATTTTGATTTTATTCAGTGTTAGAACCACCTTACTTATTTCAGTCGCCAAGCATTAATGTGTTCCGATTTTGAAGCGTTAGGGAGCTGGCGAAATTACAGGCACATGGTGCCCCTCAGACGTTGCGATTTAAAGCTATTAGTGATACTTCAACGGATCTGCTACGGGTCAGGTGTGTCACTATCACCAGATACACTTCACTTTGTATCATAAAAAGAATTAAGGAAATGGGTTAGTTGATCCCGTATAAAATTCTGAAATAAGTTCTATGAATGGAATTATATGACATTTAAATAATTTTAAACTTTATTCCTTGGACCGTAAATAGAACTTTTCATACAGATACCTCAATTCTTCTAACCATACAATATCTCGTTCTACATTAGTAACAGTACACTCGTAGGCTGACATCATCCTAGTTCCTGTAAGACCATCTATAAAAACATCCCCAATAACACACAGATGTGAACCGACATCAAAATTAGCTGGTTCCTGCTTTGTTTCTGATATAGCAGTCATCATTTTGGATTTAATGTCTAAATTACTATCGCCATATCGCAATTGTTCAACAAAATCTCTATGCAAACTCTTCATCATTTCTTTGGACACGTTTTTGTTGCGTTTACCCCAATCGTAATATATTTGTACAGTTCCAGTTCCATCGCTCAATTCTAAGTTTGTAGAATTATTAGTCTTATTATACAACGTTGTAACAACACCGTGGACCATGATATTCTTGAAAGAGAGTCCGAATAATTCATAAAAATATTTGTTGTGTTCACTCCGTTTTGCACGAAAGATATCTTGTACATACAGTTTCATTGGATACCTTTGAAAGTTATTCGGGACTATGTCCATGATTTATAACATTTTGCAATTGATTAAGCAATTAGATCTGGTTTTAAAGTGACTAAATTCAAGCAGGTAAGCAAAAGTTCTGAAAAACGTTGGCAATTTCAATTGTATTTCTGACATTTAATTTCTTACATTAACATGGCATTGGCAGAATGGAATGTAGCCAAATTTGACGTGACTCATAGTCTGTCAAGAACACAATTAGAACTTTATTTTTAACTGAATTCAAAAAAGGAGGAAGTTTTCAACTGTTTTTTTGTATGTGATGAGATATTTCCGATTCGTAAAGCAATTTTGATGGTTACTTTTTTGTTGGAAAGACTGTGCCTCAGTGTGCCATTTTACGAGGGCTTTTAAAACAAAAATTTTACATTAAGTTATAATGTTGCGTCGTTTACTTGGATGACGAAAATCCGTGGTGGTTTAGCCCTTGCAGCTTGTCTTGAATCTTGATCTATCATATTTGAAATAAATGTTGTAAATGATAAATGTACACAAAGGATAATTTACAAAGTGCAGCTCCTGGAGATTTTTCCTCATTCTTCTCAGAGAAAGACTATATTACTAGCATCATAGTAACAACTTTTGTTCCATAACTTTTTTCAAAACTATAAAAATTCTCCAAAAAGAAACTTTTAAGTTTATGTTATATTATTTGATATTATTAGATCTTTTAATAGTAGTAGTAAGTTCAAACCTGCAAGCCTCTATCTACACTCCCCTGCGTTTTGCGTCGGGCTGGGTATTTACGCGCTTTCTTTTGTTACCACAGAGTTATCACCGTTAAGAGCGTTATATTTAAATATGTTTATTTTTGTTTGAAGTAAAATCTGATGTACGTATTATTAAAAGTCGTGGAATAAAAGTAGTTGACTTTTAAACCGTTCCGAAATATAAGGAGAATAATAAAAAAAAATCATAACGTGGTAAAAAACTTGTAATTAGTAATTACAGGTGTTTTTTTAGTGAATAACTGTGAAAGTTTTAGATAGATAATGATATATACATAGTTCCACGGCGCAACAATAACTAATCTTTATAAAGGTTTTCCACTAAATGCTATGAAGATAATGACCTGCAATCATAGTTTATACTTCCTAATAAAACTATAAGAGTCTAATTGACCTGTTTTCAATAAAAGCAGCGACATTCTCGATTATAGAATAACAGAGACATAACGATGGCGTTGTACAGCAAAATAGTCGATTTCGATACGGCGCGCGGCGGCGTCTCCGTTGAGCCGTGTATCGAACCGGCTAGAGTTGGGGGTAGTTATTGATACCTATATGTGTCGATGCTTTGTATACAGCATTGTAAAATCATATAGATACATCGATGAAGCAGAGCAGTTGAAATTTGGGGTTAGAAAATTATTGTTAAATCACGTTCTGCGATGTAATTAAATATTTGTTGTATACACAGTCTTTTATTTCGATGAGATTTAATTTAATTACATATCTATATTATTTTTAATCAACAGAAACCCAGATAACCATGTCTGGCATCGACCGCCTAGATTTGGAAAGTTACCGATAAATATTTACGTTTCGATGATTTGCTAGTCAACATTATTCAATAACAGAGAGATAACGATGGAGTGAGTAGTGGATTTCGATGCGACATCTGCGTTGAGTATTGCATCGACTTACTAGGGTTGGCAACTTATCGATGATTAATGTAACGATGATTTGGACAGTTGAGATTATTATATAATAACAGGGAGACAATGATGAAGCAGGATTGTCTATTCCGATATCGCATATCTACTCTGGTCGTACATCGACAGGCTCAGGTTAAAAGTTTATCGATAAATGTGAGTAAGCACTCTGGGCTCTTATCTCGAGTTGGAACATCCAGAAGGACTAATTTAGACAACATACGTAATCACAAATTTTCTTTGAAGAGCTAGAAAAAGTTTGGATAGTGTGCTGAACAATCACAATCTGGACGTTGACATATTCAACTGTAATGTTGACGAGCTACAGCGTAAACTCATAAATTCGTGACTGTTGACGCAGATATTGGGTTGTTATCTTTATGTATGTGCGTGTTTTAACACATGCTGGTTATTGTTAACATTTGGGGTTGCCACATTACTGCAGCGCATCAGGCATGTGCGCAGAAGCGCACACACGTTTTCATGCTATTCTTAGAAAGAGAGGTGTCTCATTGCTAAGCCATATCCGTGGCAGCTCTAATTGATTTTCTTCGCGTTGTGACTGGCAGCGTTGACTGCCAAATCAAACTACCTTTAATTTGAAGACGAGGATTTTATTTTTTCTTTTTAATATTGGTATCCATACATAATTGTGTAACTAGTATAAGATTATGGACTGTATCTATCTTAAACATATGAATTTTGATTTGATTGTTAATTTGTTCAAAGCTCGTGTTTGATTTGTCTGCAATTATTGGTGAAAACGTGTAATTATGTTGCTATTCCTGTTTTTATTAAGAGTTTGAAGATATTGGTTTGAAGGAATAATAAATAAACTGGTTCTGAAATATTAAGTTTATTGAATGTCACGATGTTTGGCTATCATGACATCAATTATTTTTTTGTGAAATTATTCTACTAGTTTGTTATAATTACTTTGGTACTAATAGAGTACAGAGAATATTGTTTAGTTTCAGACCAGCAGCAAGTTTGTTTGGCGGATAACATTATAATAATAAACTGCCTCCGTAGCCAAATGGTTACTATGTTGGACTGCCACGTAGAGGTCCCGGGTTCGATTCCCGGGCCTGGAGAAATATTTGTATGGCTTACATTTATTTCTCTCGTGAGTTTAGGTGTATTTGTAGTTGTCTATGTGTGTTTTTGGCATCCGCGATACCGTTTCCCTAGTGCGGGGCAATGAATGTGTGCGTTATTATTGTTATTTTAATAGGGGTATGGGCTTAAATGTGAAAACCGCCGATTTATCTGGCCACTTTGAATTAAAATTAAATCTGCATGGTGTCAGATTTCAGAGTGAAACTTATTTCACCTGAAAACTAAAACATTCTTAATTAAAAAAAAGTCATGATTATTTTGATTCTTCGACTTTCAATTGTTTTTGCATTCAGCTTTTAACGTGAAGACGGATACAGCCAATCATATTATACGGATACAGCAAAAATCAGAGTAATTTTCGAATACGATCGAATACACATGGTGTTAACGAGCAGAAACTGTTCGTAATGTCAATGCTGTATTTGGAGAGGATACGCACCGTGCGTTTTTCGACAATTTTCGAAATTTCCACTTGAAGCATGAGAAACGAGGAAGGCCAGTCACTATGGTAAATAACGATAAATTGAAGGTGATGATAGAAGTCGATCCTATATCAAACCACCAAGAAATTGTAATGGAAGTCTGCATCCTTAGGGGCTGTTAACTACTCGACAATTGGCCGAAGAGAACTCATTCTGAACGAGCTCACTCTTTCGGGTTCGCTGAATAGCCAATTAATTTACTTCCATTTTTATTAATATACTATTTGTACCGTTTCATTGACTTCTACAAAATTATCTGGCAGCCTCCAAATGGAGCCCTTTGGGTGGGGTACACCCTCTCTTCGATATCGATCGTATCGACCTATTGTCCAACACTAGTTGTGTGGAGAAAACACTCGACAAATAGCGGGGCAGGACGCAGTTTGCATAATTGCCGCGCCGTTGCCGTTCGAGGACTTTCCACAACCGTACACTGGCTTCGCTACTCGAATGAGAACAAAATAACGTAGTTGCGCTGAGTACCGACGAACACGAGGCAACGAATATCCCCATTTACTTATCTAAGTATGAACGTTTACATTGATTTATATTGTGGGCGATGGATGAGGAGGTCCCAGGTTCGATTCCCCGTAGGACTAATTTGGGAAATGAACTTCTCTAAATTAGTCCTGGTCTGGGTGTTCTGAGAAATGCCCTAGAGTGAATTCCGTTACTTGGTACTCATAGTTCAAGAATTTACCTTGAACTTAATTACCTTGAATTTAATTTGACATTAGGCAATTGGTAGTCTGGCACACATCATTACCCTTGTATCTCAGTGGGGTCGACAGAGATTATGGATCGTAATTCTTCTATCTTCTTAACATGTAGTTTGTTCGTATAGCTGCAATCTAATACACAGGGTGAAACTCTGCCCATCTCCTGATATCCCTTTTTCAGGGACACGTCTTCCAAGTGAACCATCTTGACTTGAGAACAATACAGTGTTTCAGGATATTATTAATATTATTTTTATGACACCATATGACAGGACGAAGAATCGTGCGTCTGGTGGTAAGCGACACGTCCGTCCATTACAGTTGCACTGCCACTCAGAGCTTTAAATCGCAAACATCTGAGGGGCACTGCCACCGAGCCTTAAGTTGAAAAGTCCTACGTTTCTATAATTTCACTAGTGTCCTTACCCTTCGAAACCGAAATGTAGTAATGTTCTAATGAATGCTTGGCGGCAGAAATGGCTAAGATGGCAGGCAGTAGACTATTTCCCTGCTCGAACTCTTTTACAAGGACCTCTACTGCTACTTACAACTTTTCAACATACCTACATAAGTGAAAAATAAGTATGCACTAAAAAACAATGTGCCACAGCACTTAATTAATTAAAAAATAACATTCTAATTACACGAAAGAGCAGCATACCCTCACCAAAAATAAAGAATCATTGTACTAATTTTCAAAATGGCGGCCGAGCCATAACCGTATCTTGCGAGGGAGCCGCCATTACAGAAATTAGCCCTGGGTCATTCTTTTATTTTATTATCTTTAATTAACATTAATAAATGTAAAACTTCACTTTGCTTTGTGTAATATTTGTTCCTGTCGTTCTATGAGTGACTGCTATAATAACCAAATTAACGCTAGCGTATTATACTTAAGTTTTTGATTGCTTGTTTATAATGTTTATTGCAGAGGTCGTGTACACAGCGAGACCTTGTATTGTACGAGCCACATAATCTTCGTTTCCGTCGAGGTAATATAGAGCTTTCCTAAGACAATGCGAGGAA